CGTGGAGATGTATTGGCCGACGCGTCACGCGTTTAACCTCTTACCGTCGTTGGAGCCTTTCGCTCGCTTTATCTTCGCCCACTTCGAATGCCCAGCCATCATCATCATGTCCCGTACGCTGGTGCTTGTGCTGGTGTAGGTTGGCATGGCGCCTTTGTTGGTAAAATCCCATGAATGGCATCATGTCACGGCACTTACATGATATTAGAATGGGGACGGGCCGGGGAGGGGATCGTAGTAGGAGGGGGGGAGGAGGTAGATCGAAGGCTGAATGAGATCTCTGACCACGGGCGTGCCATTCTTGTGTACATCCGGCTCCAAGACATGGTGTTTAGCGTGGTAAATTGAGATTATTGAACACCTGTGCCATGGATGAAAAAATCAAGTAGCCTGCATTTCTCCTTCGTACCAGTGACGCCTCTTACCCTCACCTAAAAGAAAGATCAGCGAAGAGTGCGCCGGACACCAGCTAGCCTCATGCATGAAAAAAAGGTACTGCTGAGTGCAGGATGCCGTGCTATTATCATGCACCTGTGGCTCATCGAAATTTTTTGCGCCTTTTCTAATCACGATGCATGCGCCCCGCCCCTCTCCTGGATGTACGATCACATCCAGGTCTGCCTCAACAAGGCTGCGAAGATGAACGGCCCATCTACAATGCGCGGTGGTCGATATTGAATACGTGAAACACCATGATGACTTTCCGAACGACTTTCTAGCAAGACACGCATAAGGCGTGGTTTTGTTTAGAGAGAGCCATCAGAGGGTTTTGGTTGTTCCTTTGGACGTCTCCTACTTCACATGACGGGTGCATGGCAGGGGTTGACTGGGGTCGAAGAAGGGAGGAAGTAGGGAGGATTGACCTGCTTGCGCCGCGCCTGAATTTGTTTTAATCTTAAAAGAAGAGAAAAAATGGAGTAAAAATCCATGCATCTAAAGCAAATGAAGGAGGTAGAAGGTCAAGGCAAATCAAAAACCAGGAAGATAGAACCAAAAGCTCGACATGGTAGTATAACCTCATGCTTGTGTCAATTGATGATTTTAATCGATCCCCAATTGGCATGTGAGTGCAATTTTCGAATCGAAAGGAACAAAATGTTGTGTGACAACACAACAATCTTTTACTGGAAACAAAGC